TCCCCGCTCCCGCGCCGGCCGCTGCACACCGACCCCGGCCCCCATTCTATGACGACGGCCCCACGGGCCCGGATACCGAGGACGCTGGTGACGAGACGCCCGACGTGGACCCAGAGTTGCTGAGGTGCCGGCAAGGGACAGGGAGGGGACGGTGAGGCCGAGGGGTTGGGGGACCTACTTTATCCCGAGGAGAGGCAAAGGTCCTAGGTCCTAGTTGGGAGTAAGATCCCGGATGTGGTGTGGGGCAAAGATTCCGCGCTAGAGAATCAGTGTAGGATGTGGTCTCCTGTCCCCGGGCAGAGGCCGGATGGCCGGTTTCGGCCACGAAGGGGAGGCCAGGATGCTTTAATTTCTGGCATGGGAGTCGGGAACATGTGCCTCTTGAGAGCAGTGGGCCAGGGACATGGGTGGGGAAGGACCGGGTACTATGGGGTCCCGGGGTGTGCCGTCCAGGTTCCTGGGCTGCAGGGGCGGGCGGCACGCAGCCACATCCTCACTGCATTCTGCTCTGTGCTGTAGGTATTTGCTGGGACGAATCCTCACCGGAAGCGCGGATGCGGAAGCTGGGGCCGCCCCGCGCCGCCTTCGCCGCGCCGCCAACCAGGATCTGGGCCCTGAAGTGCCCCCTGAAAGTGTTCTGGGGGCACTGCTTCGCGTAAAACGCCTGGAGAACCCCCCACCACCCCCCGCGCCAGCGCGCCGTCTCCTGCCACCCTGAGCACCGCCTGCATCCAGCATGCCCCAGAATCCAGGAGCGCACCAGCCAGCCACCTGAACCCCCTCGCCTGCACCCCTTCCATCCCCAGGTCCCCATCCCCTGGCCTTACAATAACACCATCTGAAAAATCTCTGTCTGTCTTTGTGAATGGCCGTAGCTAAGGGGCTGGTGGGTTGGTCGGGGTGGCTGCTCTTGGAGTAGAGGGGCTCTAGGTCTTGCCCTTAGTGACACCCCCTGTTTAATCTGTGCCTCTCCTTACTGGCAGAGGCATCCACTGGGACAATCCACATGGGACAGTGCCCCCCACGCTTGGTGCTACCCTTCTAGGCCTCACTAGGTTAGGCAGATCTCATGGGCCTCTTTCAGGACCTGCACCAGCATCTTCCAGGGGCCTGTTCTCTTGAAGACCAGGGCACCAAAGGGCCAGTGGCTGGTTTGTAGTCGTGGTCTTTGTTTTGCACTGGCTGTGTCCTCTACCCCTGGATATCAGCAAGGTTTTATCCAAATGCCACCTACTCTGTAAAGCTTCTTTGACCACCCTGTCACTGTGTTCCTTCACCTGCCTTATTGTCAGCTTCTGTCATAAAAAAGCAAGGATTCATCTACACATCCTTTGTGTACCCAAAGCAGGGCCTGGCACATGAAGGACTCCCCAGAAATTCTTGAATGAAAGACTTCTCATCCTTCAAGTAACATTCCACCTGGTCTCACTCCTGCCCACATAACACTTGGCACAGAGGCAGCTTGGAAACTGGAAACACCATTTAATTAAACTTGCACAAAATTTCTCAAACTGACAACACAGCCAACACTAGACACCCCCTTGTCACCAAAAAGCTCCTCAACAAATGAAAGAAGAAGAGTGTCCATGTATCCCTATCAACAGTGCGTGTCCTTGTTACTAGTTGCTCTTGAGGTATCTCTGTCAAGGGAATCGCACCCTGGCCTGGGGAGGGGCTGCTTTTCCTGACGGAGATCTTCAGGACATAGAGCAGCCGCAGACACACACAGCCTTCTGATGGTGGGCCTTCTTCCCACCGGCCTCCAGCATGGCTGCCTGGACCCTCTGGATCTCATGGATGAGCAGGGAAAAGGCTTCCTCCACACCTTGCCGTATCTTGGCTGAGGTCTCCACGAAGGGAGTCCCCCAGCTTTGGGCGAGGGCTGCAGCAGTGGCATGGGCCCCTCCAGTAAGAGTCATAAGGTCACACTTGTTGCCCACCAGGACGAGGGGTTGAGTGTGGCAAGGGCCCCAGGTGGCCCGCATCTGCTGCAGCTGATCCAGAGATGAAGGGTCATCAAGAGCGAAGACACCCAGTATGCCATCACCAGCTGCCAAGCACTGGTTCCGTAGGGCCCTGTAGATGTCTTACCCTGCTGTGTCCAGCACATTTAGAATGTAGCCCCCATTGCCCAGGGCTACTTCCTTCCAGTAGGAATCCTGGATGGTAGGCTCATAGTCCTCCACGAAGCACTGGTGGGTCATCTGGATGGTCAGTGCACTCTTTCCCACGCCACTTGCACCGACCACCACTGCCTTGTACTCGGGCAACTTCTTGGCAACATCCTTGCTGGGTTCCGAAGCCTCGTGCCTCTCTTTTTGGGAGTCGGGGCTCCAGGTACCCAGGCCCAACTCTTGGTCACTAGGTGGCAGTGGCAGCTCCATGTCTCACACAGGCAACTCAGGGAAGAGATATAAATAGATCTGCCAGTGAGGAGGGAAGAAAACAGTGGAGAGAGGTCAGGGCAAACTGTTTAGCGGTGAAGGGATGGGGAGGCGGCATTGAATCAATATTTATTGAGTTCCTACTGTGTGCTGATCACCTAATATGTATACATTATTTATGTTGCTCTCCCCGCTTCCTTCTACAAGATCAACTTTGTAAAGGGGAGTTTTTTCTTTTGTCAGTGTTGGGAATCAAACCCAGGGCCTGAGGCAAGGTGATGGGTTTGTCTACTACTCAACTATGCCCTCAGCCCCAAGGCAGGATTTTTCAAGCAGCTTTATTAAAATATAATTATACTCCATAAAGTTCACCCATTTCTTATAAATTATTAATTTCTTTTAGACAAAATCTTGCTTTGTAGTGCAGGTTTGCCTTAAGCTCACTATGTAGCCCAAGCTGGCCTTGAACTCAAGGTGATCCTCCTGCCTCAGCCTCCCAGTGCTGGGATTACAAGTGTGTGCCACCAGTTCACCCAGTTAAAATGTATAGTGTATTCATGGAGTTGTGTGAATTTTAGAACATTTTTGTTACTTGGGAAAGAATCCTCCTGCCCATTAACAGTCACTCCATGATGCAGAGGGAGGGCAAGATTCTGTTTATTTTGGTTGACATCAAACCTCAGCCTCCAGGCAGCGCCTGACAGTTGTCTGCTCAGATCATTCCCATCCCATGGGGTTAATAGTCTAAAAGAATATTAGTATCTGAAGAGACAATAAACCAAATAAATTAAGTGAATTATGCAGTCCATTAACTATTTTCATTAGAATTTGCTCTTATTAACTATTCAACATATATTTCTTGAAAACCTACTGTGTGGCAAGGACACAGATACAAAAAAAATAGATGGCCACTGTGAATGTTACACTCTCCATTATTGTCTATAATTCCACATTGGCGACAAGTGACAAGATAAATATGTAAAATATATTTCAGTAGAAGGTGCTTGGCTAATGGGCAAGCATCTTTGTTATTATTTGATCTTCCTTAATTAAGGCCAGCATCTTCCTGTATGGTAGACATTATGATACAGCACTGTAAAAAAACAAACTCAACTCCTGGCCTTTGAGAGCTTTAGATTCTGACAGTGAGAGACAATAAACATCATAAGTAAGTAAATTACTTTGCATATTATAAGAGGATAGGCATTCAGCAGGTGCTACTAATAGCAAATCGCCATTAACACATTAAATGAGCCTCCCTGTCCAGTTTGGGAATTGACCTCATGGAGTGCGCCATAGTGGTCATCTAGAAACCATGGAGCAGTGGCAGCTTTGGGGTAGGTGGTGGGTTCCAGGTGTTCTTCGCAGGCTCTGCTGATTGGGGGATGTGCAAGTGAGGGTGAGATGGGCGGAATCCCCCTGAAAATGCTCACTGCAAGTCGCTGCCCAGAAATGGGGGGCAAGACGAAGAGAGAACAGCTGAAAATTTGGGATGCCATCATCAGAGGTGGGGGAAGTGTAAGCAGGTCTCTCCCGCCCTGGCCAAGGTGCTGGTGATGACCACAGGTGCCCAGGTACCATCTCCTGAGAGCATGGTAGAGGCAGGGTGAGCACCTGCTGTGACCACATTCACTTTATTTTATGACATGGGGAGGCAGGTTATGGTCACCAGGACCCGTGTGTCCTGTGAGGAACTGGGTGCTCTGAGAAGCGGAGTGACAGGGACTGGCCCAGGTCGCACGTCCCCATCACAGAATGAAGTCCCAGCCTTCTGCTCGAAAGCAAAACCCTCCCCATGGTGGATGGTACTGCAGTGTCCCCAGAGGGTCCTTGAGCCCCTGGAGCACCTGCTTGGCACTACCTGGGCCTAGTGTCCTCCCTCAGCTGCCCCAGGAGGTGAGGGAGAGAGGAGGGGGCACGGGGCTCCCTTCAGACCTGGGCCACCGGAGCGGCCCCGCACTTTGTTTTGTCTGATGTGTAAAGCTGGAGGTGAGTAGAGATGAGCAGGGGTGGCCCTGAGGCTGCATCCCCAAGGGCACCTCCACCTTGGGTTCAGCCTGCACAGTGGTGCCCCAGGGTGCGTTTAGGGCACCATCCCGAGAAACAACCCTGCTTCCCGCAAGCAAAGCGCAGGCACTGACCCGTTGGGGGCAAATGCAGGGCTCTATCCCCTAGAAGGAAAGGTGGCAGGGAAGGGTCTCGGTGACTCCCGCACAGAAAGACCTTTAGGCCCAAACACGGCCGGGATTCCTGCAGCCCGCTCACCTGAGTCCGGGAGCAGCAGGGCACTGGGACGTAGAGGGTAGCTCTGACAGCAGTGATGAGACAAGGTATGGGGGGGCGGGGCACTAGGCACGCGCAGCCACCGCCCCGTGGGCCTTCCCGCCCTGCGACACCAACCGTCGCTGGCTCCTGGCCCAACTGCCTAGGTGGTGCTGCAGACACCTGCCACGTGTCCACAAGGCGGGCTCGCGAGTCTCGCTGCACCTCTATTACCTGTGCTTGGGACAGGACTGTGTGTGCAGGGAAGGGTCAAGTTTGACCTGTCAGGGCCATTTGAACCAGTTTCGTGAGTGCTTTGTGGCCAAGAAGCCTCTATGATAGCTTCAACTCAACTCGGTGGGTCTGGAGGCGGGGAGGGTCCATCCCGGAGGGAAAGATCTACAGGGGAGGGGCATACTCTGTCAGGGCCAAAAGAACCAATTAGAGATGTATATTCAAATTACAAATTTCCCAGACTCTCTTGCAGCTAGACAAGTGTGGGGACACAGTTCTGATCAGTGAGATAATTAGTAGAGGTGTGGGGGTGAGCCACCTAAAATATTACTACATTCGGGCTGGCCCAAGCCCTGTTCCCTTTCCCCTTATTTGAACTCTCCTTTTTCAAGAGGTAGGCCTTTGGTGGACATTTTGAGATCTGAAAGTGGAAATGAAGAAAAGACCCTGTAACCTCAGCCAAAGCAATTTTCATTATGTGAGATAACTAGAACTCTAAAATTTTGTTCATCTCCCACCTCTGGACCAGGACCTCTACCCATGATCTCTGCATCCAGGTGAAGCTTGAACCCACCCCACCCATCAGGTCAATGCAAGATGGGGAGATGGGGAAACTGGGTCCCGTGGAAAATAATTCCAGATTCCCTTGTCTTCTCAGCCTCAGACATGCCTAGGACTGGCTGTGAGGCCCCTATTTGTAAGGCAGGCACTCATTTTCTCATGGATTCTATTAAATCTCCAGTGAAGCCAGTCAAGCCACTTGCTCTAATTTTGGGGGGGGGCAATGGATGGGCAGAGGGTTGACCAGTTGAAGAACCCCCCATTCCTTTATTATTCATCAGCCCTGTTGGATGAGGGATGTGGGGTTCTTGATATACTCAAAGTTTTAGTATATGTGCTGCCAAAGCAAGCATTCCATATACTCAAAGTTAAAAGCTTTCTCCAGGTTTTTGTAACTTGAAGTTTATTAAATATGCAACCCTGCAATAACTGCCAGTTGTCCCTCACTCCAATGTTATCCTTTTGATTTCAGCACCCTCTGGGGGACACTGAGGTACCCTTTTTTCCTTCTGGGGTAGAGTAATGGTGTCCCTTGAACTGGCAGTGGACAGGGGTAGATCCACAACTGATTACCATAGTCCTCTTAAAGTGTATTTACACTTAAATAAGCACCCTTGGGCCACTGGCAAAGGATATTCACGATAGGGCAGAGGCCACCCTCATCCAAGATTTGGTTGTAAGAAATAAGGCTGGTCTGTCTGGGGCCTCAGAGGGTGGAGGAGAGGGAGCACTTTCTGGGACTTAGTGTGGGTGGGGCATGTCCGCCCCGAACTTCTTCTGATGGGCGATGTTCTTCACAACTAGGAGATCCTGAGGAAGAGGTAAGAATAGGGCAGGTAAGAGAAGTGAGGACTGCTCTACTTGCCCAGGAGGCTGCCCCCACTCCATCCCTCAACCACCCCATCTCCTGGCCAGTCCCATAGGCCCCAGACTGCACTAATCCCTGGGAAGCTACACAGAGGGGGTCTGCGTTCTCTTCCCCAGGGACATAAGGGATATGTGGGGGTGGGGTGGGGATGTGTATGCAGGGGTCAAAGGGTCTGCCCAGTGCCCACCTGGTGGTGGACATAGGCCTGACAGGGGTAACACCAGGTAGACAAGTCGACGTAGCTGAGGACCAGCGGGTGTCCAGATGCTTCATGGTGTCGAACCATATGAGCGTTGACGTAACGACTGCAGTAAACCTGAGGTTGGGAAATGAGTGTCAAGCAGGGATCCGCAATGATCTGTGGTTTGCTCCTGGGCCAACCTCCCCCTATTTCCTTCCTCTTCTATTTACCTGATAGCAGGACAAACATAACCAGTTCTCCAGGAGCGTTCCACAGTCCTCACAGGGTTGGGTCACATCCACATTTGCTGCAGACGGGGGGAGCACTGCTACCAGATGGGGACACCAGGGCAGTGGTGTCACAGCATAAAATATGTCCTAGGGTGGGTGGATGGGTGAAACTGAATAAGCTGAAGGCCCCACCTCTTATTACGTTTCTATATTGCATACCCCTGTGTGGAGGCACAAATGGGCAAGAGATGATACCACAGTCCCAGCCTTTCCCTGAGCTCACCTGGTTAGTGTCAGCAAGGTCCTGAAATCCCTGTGTCAGCTTTGAGTCATCCACATGCTGACCTCCAGCTGCCTCTCCTAGTAGGCTCTCTTCTCCAAGGGCCTGAGGTCCCAGGGTCTTCTGGACACACAGGAAAAGATGTGAGAGGCCCCATTCTTACCTTTCTTCCCTTTCCCTGGGTGCAGTGGGCCTTACCAGAGCTTCCTTGCCTAGTTCCAAGGTCCTAGGATTCCCAGTCAGCTGACTGGGAGAAAGCGGGGCTGTGGCTCCCGGCACAGGTGAGGCTACTGGAGTCTGCTTTTCTGTACGTGAGGCTTCAGGAGTTTGGATCAGCTCAGCTCCTCCCATAGCCTCGGCTGTAGGGTGCAGCTTGACTCCCCCTGTAGCTGCCTCTGAGGTGGCCTGGTGCACTGGGGCTCCTCCCACAGTCTCTTCTGAAGGACCCTTGTCCAGGGTGGCTCCTCCAGTGGCTGTCTTTGAGGACTGGTCCCGAGGGAGCACCACTTTAGCTGCCTCTGGTTTAGTCCGGCCTGGAGTGAACTCTTCTGCAGATAATGCTGAGGTTGGCTTTCTCATGCCTGCTTCCAGAACCTTCCCCTTTGGCATGATTATCCCCTTCGCCAACCCAGGATTGGCTTGTTGGGGCATCTTCTTGGTGACTGACTTAGACCTGGAGAGTCCCTCCATGTCATCTACCTTTGGAACCATGCAGCGAGTGGGTCTTGAGCGTGGGTCTTGTCCCCTTTTTGGACTCTCACCCCTGCCCCTGCCCTTCTTTCCCTGAGTCCCCTCATCATCTCCAATTCCCCACATCCACTCACTTGTGACCCGTAAGCTGCGCCAGTATCTGCGATGGACTTGGATGGTCTCAGCAATGGAAGCCAGGGCCCCAGACTGTGGAGGCCGCAGCAGAGCCAGCTGGGGTGGCAGATCTCCAAGAAGTGCATGAGTACAGGCAGCCATGGATTCTGAGATGGATGTCAGATTGTAGCCACCCTTTGTCAAGGAAAAGGGGAGGGAAAGGTAAAGTGGGGGGTTCATCAGGGAATCTGGAGGGTCAGATGTTCTGCCTCCCTAACTCCCCTTCCTCCCTGCTCCTGGGCCTTGCAAGTCTGAGTGGAGGGTGCTACCAGGAACAAATGAGTGGAACCCACATGTGTAAGACGGTCAGCACTTACCATGTGCTGGTAAGGTAAAATGTTTGTGTTGTCAAGTGCAAGATAACAATAACAACACTGGCAAAAGCATTAAAAATAGCTGACATGTATTACACGCTTGCTGTGTGCCAGACCCTATTTTATATATTCCACACATACGAACACGCTTAACCCTCACAACCACAGGTGCCCAATATGTACACGAACCTGCCTTCATGCTATCTAGAAATGACTTCACACTTTCTAGGAATCCCTCACACAGCCTATGAACCCAAACCTGCACAGGGTGCTGCCTGCTGTGAATCCACACAAAAGATGCTGCCCTGCCCAAGTACAGGAATAACTGGTCTCGTGCTCGCTTCAGTAGCACATATACTAAAATAAGAATAACTGGCCTTTCCTCTCTATACCATCTCCCATCTGAACTTTTTCATATTCCACAGGAACCCCAGTACCTGCTCTTTTTATAGATAGGGCAACTGAGGCTCAGAGTGGTCAGATGACTTGTCTGAGGTCACAAGAGCTGAAGAGGCAGCAGTGGGGTTTGAACCTGGGTCAACTGATGAAACAGCCCATGTTCTGAACCACTACCCTGCCTTGCCACAAGCAGTCCTAGGCACATTGTAAGTGGAACTTTTGTAAGCCAGTTAATTTCTCTGTGACTTAATTGTCCTCAACTATAAAATAGCAGCACAGAAGTTTGCTGAGAGGGTTAATTAATGTCTGAACAAAGCACAGCAGTAAGAAAATGTGGCATTTATTTATTTTTTAGTTTTTGGTACTGGGGATTGAACTCAGGACCTTGCTGAGGCAGGCAGCAGAACCACTGAGCTAAATCCCCAGCCCTAATGTGGCATTTATACAGTGCTAATAATATGCCATGGTTAACCAGGCTCATCTTACAGATAAGGAAACTCATCTGGGCACAGGGGTGGAGGTGCTGAGTCATTTACAAAAGATCCATGAATTTACTTGGTCCTAGGAACTTGTTAGAGGCAGTTCATGTAGAGTTAAAAAGCAAAATCCCTGGAGCCAAGTTTGCCTGGGTTCAAGCCTTCACTCTGCCCTTACTAAATGTGTGACTTCAGAGTAATCACTACCCCTTTCTGTGCCTCAGTTGCCCTGATGATGAAAGGAAAAAGCAATAGGGAAGTAGATTCTACTTCTAATGCTACTTTATCAAGTAAACAAATTAATAATACACATAAAATGCTGAGAAAAGTGTTTTGTGTATACTGAATGCTCAATTGAAGAAGCTAATGCTGTTATTGTGATTATTAATGCCCAGGCTGTGCCACCAATCCCAAGTGGGGACACTTGAAGGAGGTTTTAGGACATTACCCTGAGTCATGCAGTCAACTCTTCCAAACTGCCTGCCCCCACCCCAGGAAGAGAGCCCAAGAGAGTTACCTCTAGGATAAGGATAATGCGACCATTGGCAAGGCCCATCAACAGGTGGGTGAGGTGGGCATAACCTTCAGGTGACACCTGGCAGCCCCCTAGTGGGTCCCCTCGTGCCGCATCAAAGCCAGCTGAGACAAGCACCAGTTCCGGGTTAAACTGAGGCAGGAGAGAAGAGACACATGAGCATGAGGGGAGGCTTTGGCAGGCAGTAAGTGATGGAGACAAGAAGCAAGTCAGAGAGACGAGGAGTTGGGACTTAGAGACTGGGAGAGACAGTCATTCATACACCACTGGGCCTCAGCTCCCATGCAGGGAAGGTGACCACAGCCAGGCCATGCTCCAGTCACAGAGACACACATACAGCCAGGACAGACGGACAGACAGAGAAAGGGTGGTCCCACACAGCCTCTCATCAAGTTTTGTGCATCCAGATCTGCACATCTCACGCAGGCTGCCAGAGATGGCAGCACCCAGTGACATACGATACTACACCTGTCCCACAGAGAAGAGGGGAGGACAAACAGCTACCTGCACAGAATCACACCAATGTACCCACCTGTCCCCCGCCCTCCTTTGCACACATGCAGTTCCAGAGTCAGTGTCACTTATGGCCACCCTCAAACCCAGGTGGGCATTCATGACAGCAGACAGAGAATACAGATCTAGCAGCCTACACAGGCCACCACAAGACATACAGAGGCCCTCTAACATACAGCCAAGAGGTCACTCACACACAGAATGTCCCACAGTATCTGCAGTTAGACAGATACAGAAGGGCCATCTGAGCCTTGTCCCAACAGCCACTATCACAGCCACCCACAGCCCAAGGAGGCAGGTGTGTGCTGCCATCCACACAGGAGTGTCACGAACATCCCAAGCCTTACCTCATAGGCAACGGGAAGCACCAGGCGATGCCAGGCAGCCAGGTACTCAGCATCACCCACTCGGGGCCCGTTCCAGGTTACATTGACAGTAAAGCCTGTGCCTGCAGCCTTGCCCACCTGGCTGCTGGCACCCTCGTTCCCCATGGGAAAGAACGTGCCTCGGTCAAAGCGGTGCAGGGACACATATAGCACGCTGACAGGATGGGATGGAAAGGGGAATGTGGCTGGTTAGGGGGTCCAAGTGCTTCCATAACAGTTTAGCCCCTCCCTGACCACACCTTTGTCCCCAGCCCCAGCCCCTCACCTGGGGTCATTCTCAAATATGTGCTGAGTTCCATTACCATGATGGATGTCCCAATCCACGATCAGGATTCTGGGGAGGAGACAGCTTCTCAGTAACCTGGGACACCTGTCCCCTGGGAGAGGACTAAGACTAGACCTGTGGGGCCTGCAGGGTCTGGGTAGCTAAGTAATATGTGCTCGATCTTGGGACTCTGAGAGTAAGCGTGGGATTCTGTTGGGATAAATAACTGAGGTATGACCCTGGATCCTAGGCCTGAGTGCCACAATCTGAGAGCCCTAGCAGGGTAGGCACTGGGAGATCCACTTCTTGATCCTTTTCTGGGGAGGTGCTGGACAAGTGGACAATTGCTAGTTTCTGGAAAAGTCCAAGGGGCCATGCCATGGGCTTGCTGAGGAAGCACTGGGCTGAAAGGTGGGGGGAAGGTCTCCACAGAGGTCAGGATTTGGGGATCTCCAGGGAGTCCTTACCGCATAGCACGCCCACTGATGGCCTGGGCATGGCGAGCAGCCACAGCCACAGAGTTGAAAAAGCAGAAACCACAGGCAGTGTCCTGATCTGCATGGTGCCCTGGGGGGCGCACCACAGCCACACCATTCAGAACCTGGGTAGGAGTGGGGAGTAGGACAGGACCACTGCCCTCACATGTGCACTCCTCATTCATTTTTCCCCGCTCTCGTGTCCCCTCCACTAGTCCACCAGCTGCTATGGGCTTCCCCAATGTCCCTTCCCTCGGGGCCTGCTCAGCTCTCTCAAGGGCATTGAAAGTGGCAGGTAGCCCTTTCTTTCTGTCCCCTAAGAAAGCTGTTTCCCCCAGCCCAATGCCCACCCAGAGAGGCTGTACCTCTCCTGAGAGCACAGCCTCCACAAGGCGGCAGGCAGCACCCGCAGCAAGCTGTGCACAGGTGAAGGTGCTGGGGCAGATGTAGATGGAGTCAAAGTTGGCACCCTCCCGGTGCAGTTCCCGGGTTTTCATCTTCTCAGTGGCCCTGAGGCGTTCCACATACTCGGTACTAGAGGTACAGAAAAGAGCACCCAGGGGGAGCAGTGAGGTGGTTCTGTGGCTCTCTAGGGCCCCAACCTGGAGACAGAATATGGGCACCCCTGGGTCCACAGCATCCACACACACCCCAGAGGGAGGGTCCAGGCTCCAACCTGAAAGCCTGTCCTCAGCCCTGTGGCCACCCACACCAGGTGGGGACCTGACCTGTGGCAGGTGAGCAACTCCGCCTCTGTGGCAGGCCGCACAGGCAGGGTGACGCAGCGCCCGGCAAGGCCTAGCTCCTCCAAGTGGCACATGATCCTCAGGATGCGCTGGGGTGTCTCAGGGTGGTGGCTGGGGGTGGTGCAGAAGTTCAGGCTTAGTGCTGAGGGGTGTGAGCCCCACCTACTCAGCCCACCCCTCACTGCATACCTGTCCCATAGGTTGCAGTGACTCATCATCCGCTGGTCGTAAACCAGCCCGGTTCGCGCCTGTAGCAAGGGCCAGGTCAGGACTGGCAGCACAGGGGGTTCCCAGGGTCCTTCCTCCTCGATCTCCTGCACACTGTCCTCTTGTACGTTGTCCTCCTCCGTGGTCTCTGCTACAAGGGGAAGTCAATTTGTCCTACTCTCCAAATCTGGGTCCCTGTAACACTCAGGATACAGGTGGCTTAAACATAAAAAGAGGAGGGAGGCCTGAAACCTTGGCCAGGTGAAAAGGTGACGCTCATCACCAAGGTGGCCCAGGAATCAGAGGGAGGTCTGAAAGAGTCTCCCTTTGGCTCATTCCATGCCAAGCCTCCATCAAGCCCACACTCCACTTCTTACCTGGTCTCACAAGAATCTCCCAGAAGGGCTCAAGGGCTTCCAGAGTACAGGAGATTGAAGCCTGGGCACTGAAGGCAGGGGAGGACAAAATGCAATGAAATGACCCACAGTGGGCAGTGAGAGCCCCTCCTCCATTCTTGCCCCCAGGCTCACCTTGGGCACGGGGCACCAGGGGACTCCAGCATGGGGCAAGGATCTCCCAGAAGGATGTGGAGTGATGCACTGACACCCTCAGCCAGGGAGCGAAGGTTGTAGCCACCCTGAGAGGAGGAGTTGTGAAGGGGTGAGGAGAGTTGCGGATGTTACTAGGAAGGACGATAATGACAATAACAATACTAGGGTGCATATTACATGTTGAGCAACAAGGAACTCAGAGGGTGACCTCATTTAATTAACTGGAAATTACATAAGGTGATTACCGTTAACATTTTCCCCATTTCATTTTAAAGAAGTGACATGTAAGTGGAGATGTCAGGCCAGGGACTCCTACTGGAATTGAAAACCCTGTTCTTTTTTATGTGTGTTATGCTGAGGATTGAACTCAGGGCCACATGCACACTAGGCAAGTGCTCTACCACTGAGCCACACTCCAGCACGAAAGCTCTGTTCTGAAGCCCTCAAGGGTCCACAGGTTGAAAGACAAAGGCCATTACCTCCAGAGACAGGATCAACTTGCCTCCTGCCAAACCCATAAGCAGGTGGGTTAGCTGTGCAAACCCTGCCGGAGTGGTAGCCATCTCACCCTGCGGGGACATGGAGGATGAGCCCGGTTCTATGCAGCACCTTCTGCTCACCTGCCAACCTCAGAGGCCTACTTTACCTTGGGATCCCCTTGTATGGCATCAAATCCAGCAGCCACTAGGACCAGCTGAGGCTGGAACTGAGGGAGGAACAGACTACATGAGACCATCTGTCCTCCTGGGCCATCCCTTACTGTTGCCCCTCACCCCAACATTTCCCAGACCCCAGGACCTCGAAGGCAACCGGTAGCAGGATGTGCAGAAAAGCAGCAATGTAGTCCGCGTCCCGCATCCCCACCTGTGGACAGAGGCATGACGGGGATGGGCTACCTGCCCGAGAGAGCAGAAGGATAGGTTTGGGTCTCACTTTTCAGGCAGAGGATGGGAGATACTGACCTGGTTCCAAGGCACATTGATGGTGTAGCCTTGACCTTGGCCAAAACCGGTAGTAGACCAGTTAGAGGCCTTAAGGTGGGGCCAGAATCGACCCTGCTCATAACGATGGATGGAAAAATAGAGGACACTGGGGGCAGAAAAAAACAATGAGGTGAGGGGTTGCCTAGCACGTGTGTGGCCATGGGTTCAGTCCCCAGCACTGCTGGAGAAGAGTCAGGCTCCAGATGCTCCCAACCCATAGCTATTACAGTTCACTCAACCACTCACTTCCCCATTCAACCACTCGTCATTTTCTCCATTAATTTCCCCACCAATTCTTTAAAATAACTTTTTTACAGTAATGGGGATTGAACCCAGGGTCCTCACACTGAGCTATATCTCCAGCCCTTTTTTAATTTTTGATATAGGATCTCACTAAGTTATTAAATTACCCAGGCTAGCTGGGGATTTATCTTAGTGGTTCCACCACCTGCTTCACAAGCACAAGGACCGGAATTCAATCCCTGGTACAAAAAAAAAAAAAAAAAAAAA